TTGGAAGGGAGGTGTTTCTGACACTGCCCAACTGGTAGACTTCATATTCTGAACTGGAAGTTGAATCTTTGTGGTAGCTGGGAGGACTTTGTTACTAGTCAGCACATAGCTGAGCATTTCCTGAATTAGCAGTGTGGAATTCAATAGAGGGAATAGAATTTCCACATTTTTATGGAAGTTTCAAAAGTATCATTACAGATACTTAATGTGATAATACACTTTGGTTTTCTCCCCAGAATGCCTCTTTCACTTTCTGTGAATACTTATACTACAAATAGGATTAGCTCAGTGAACTGTAGTACTTACCGAGTGTCTGGCATGAATCCTGTAACAGTTAGTGTCTCATTTTTTGAAAGAAGAAACAAGTTCAGATCGGTTAAATTCCATGCTGGGATCTGAACCTAGACATTTTGACACCAGAGCTTAAAAGGAGGTTGATTGTGAGATTCTTTCTATAGGCCTATCAAAATTGACTATGTAGTTGAGATTACATAGTAGGGTTACTATATTTTCCATCTTTTTCCTCCATTAAAAGTAGGATTGCTGAAGCAGGAGTCTCTGTATTTTAAACAAAAGTTGCCCAATCAGCATTTTCTTTTTTTTTTATGAGAAAAACATAAGTAGAAAACTACAGTAATGCCTCTGCTATAGAATCTGTGTACAAAATATAGAAGAAATTATAGCATTAGTAAATAACCGTTTTGTGACCCACCATTGTCATAACTGATTCAGACAAGCACATTCAGGGGAAACTTCTTGGGGGACTGTATATTCATGCAACCCGAAAGTATCACCACAAATTACTCATTAATTAAAAGAGAAAAGGGTATATTTACAGGAGAAATCTGACAGATCTGAGATTAACCAAGTGATCAATAAAGAAAACCTGACATGCTTTATGAGGTAATTCACTGAGGAGGTCTTAGGATCCCCAGTAGAAAATTCTTATTAGAAATGTTTGATTTGAATCTAGTCATGAGGAGACAATCCAAATTGAGGGACATTTTCAGAACACCTGGCTTGAACTCTTCAAAAAGATTAGTTCATAAATGACCAAAAATGACTTAGATACTATTTTAAATTAAAGGAGATTAATGAGATGTAATAATTAATCAGAATCCTTAATTGGATTCCAGATTAAAAAAACTAAACAAAACCAAAAATAAATTATAAAATTCAGTATTGTGGTTGTTGTTGTTGTTAAGTGCCTTGGGTCGATTCCAACTCATAGCACCCCTGTATAAAGTTTTTGAGGAGTGGCTTGTGGGTTTGAGCCGCTGATCTTGCCGTTCAAACTGACCTTGCAGTCCTGCGCATTGTCCTGAAACCCACACCCATCTTAATTATAATAACTGAATGATGATTACATAGAATACATTGTTCTTGGCAATTATAGTGAAGTATTTAATGAAGATGCTTAACACCCTACTCTCAGTTGGTTTACCAAAAATAAATATGTACAGAAAGGGAAAATCTAAATAAAAAGTACATGAGTGTTTACATACTATCATTTAAACTGCTCTGTGAGTTTGAAAATTTCAAATAAAGTAGGAAAACTAAAATTTGTTTGCTAACATAGCCAAACTCAAGCAATGGAGACATAGGTTTGTATTAAGAATAATAATGGAGAACGTTTTTCAAGGAAATAATTGAAAGCAGGAACTCCTGATGTGGCACTGGACTGCAAACTACAAGGTCAGCAGTCTAAACCCACCAGCTGCTCCTTGGAAACCCTATACACAGTCGCTATGAGTCAGAACCGACTCAATGGCACTTACCAACAACAACAACAATTGAAAGCAGTGATCATAAATACCTAGGTTTATACTGAATTGACATCTCTGGCAAATTTATAATGGCTGCCTGATATGCTAAATGCCTGGGATTCTTTAGTGTTCTTTGGAGGCTAGGATGGCCAAACTTTGTCTTTCATACTTTGGACGTATTGTCAGGAGGGACCAGTCTCTGGAGAAGGATATCATGTTTGGTAAGGTGGAGGTTCAGAGATAGAGAGGAAGAACCCCAAAGAGATGGATTGGCCAAGAGGCAGCATTGATGGACTCAAGCATGGCAACAAAAGTGAGGTTGGCCCAGGATTGGGCAGCTTTTTGATCTGTGCATAGGGTCGCTATTAGTTGGTACCGACTCGATGGCACCTAACAACAACAACAATCCTTGATTTATTAGCCGTATTTTCCAAGAGTTTAGAAAGTGGGAATGGGTATGGATGTTCCAAATATTTGCCAGTTGGTTGAATGTTTACATCATTACAGTCTAATCCTTAACTCTTATCAAGTACTGCTTGACCTAACCCTAGTCTTAGCCTGAAGTTTTAGTATTCTCTTTAATATCCCTCCTGAAGTTGGGTCAGAGGGCTCCACAAATCAAAATCAAGCATCTGAGGAATCCTTAAATGAGAGTCTACAAGCCCAGACAGACTCAAGGGGTAGGGAGTAATAAGGTACTTAACACCTCCTGAATCAGATTTTGAAAGCAGGAGTTCTTTTCAGATTCTCTTTGTGGGACCTAAAATTTTAAAATGGTAAAGAACCTCCTCATGTTCTGAGGATCTTTTGTAATTGTTAGCATCCTATCCAGTTTGTTCTTCACCTCCCTTACTGCTAGCATGATGAGACTTCCTATGTTTGGCCCCCTATCTCTAGTGTCTCTTATATTCTCCTTTGCTCTCATGAGGGTAGATGGAGTTTTCATCTAATCAGAAGCAGGTAATTTTCCATTTTCTTTAAAAGGTGAACATAAAGGAGCCTTGATCATAGTATGTGCTCAATAAATACTGTTGAAAGGATGGTTGAAATAATGAAATACTTCTTTTCCCAAACAGCTTTCCAGTTGAAATTAGTTGGAGTTCACTTAGTGTTTCTTAAATGAGTTAAATTACATGGATTAGCTCCCTTGGCTACCTGTGCAATTTTCCATGCTCCTTTTTCAGCTTGAGTCTTCGAGAGGGAGCCTCAGAACTGAGTTCTAAAACGTTTGTACCTGGTGTGATTATAAAGCAATGAGACTGATTGTCATGTGTAGTGTGTGGGATCCGTCTCAGTTACTTTATAGCCATACCTGGTATCTTATACCTCAGATCATTGCCTGTTGAACAACATTTTAATAGCACACGCCTAAGGTTTCTAAATGAAAGTTTAAAGTGGTTTAGCAGTATTTTATTATTTTTTCTAACTTACTGATCAAAACTCTTATTTCAGAAAAATAATTAGATATTAACTTTATTGCTTGCTTTAATTTTACAGTTTTCTTTTTGCTTTTTTGACTTTTAATCAGCATTTTGATAAAGTGCTATTCTGGTAAAATGGCTGGAAAATTTTTGAAATAAGGTAATATAAAGATATATCTATGAGGTTACACTTTTTTTTAATAAAACTCCATTTATTAATGAATTTTTCACTTGCATGTGGTCTTTTGACTGCACATGCCACAGAAATAGCCTTTTTAACTAAATGGTCAGTGAAACATAAAAACAGAATACTCATTCAAAAAGCCTTTAAAGGGGCAAATTTTGGTGTGTTTTTTTTTTGTTTGCTTGCTTGTTTTATTTTGGTGACTTATATTTTCATACACAAGCCCTATTCTAATTTGAAAAGTAGTTGTAATTTTCTGTTTCTCAAAATAAAAGGTTTCTTTCCCTCTCCCTGATCTGACACCTCGTCTCCCTTAGGAACTCTTTGAAGAAGGCAACTTCTAAAATTTGCATGCTACCACAAGCGATTTCATCCTCTGAAAGGATGACCACTGGTAGCTAGATTGGTGTTGGAAAGACTTTTTTTTTTTTTTCTCCCCTTAAAGAAAAATGGGAAATTATTCCCTTTTCTGGAGGAGAAAAATTCTCGTAATTTCATGCTGTAAAATTGTGCCTGTGGCAGAACTGGAAAATATTTTGAGTTTTCCTTCTGTAATAGATTTCTTTATTACACGGGTTTCAACTTTCACAGGTGTTATATAGAAGCTATAAATACGGTTGGGCCTTGAACAACACAGATTTGGGCTGCATGGGTCAACTTTATACATAGATTTTTTATTCCCTGCTGCTATTGCGGTGAGCTCAAGTGCTGTGAATATCCACTTTAAAAGCCTTGTGACTCTAGTCATCTCTGCGTGAGCAGTTCATGATCAGTTACTGGAGTGAGGAACTGCTCACACAGAGATGATTAGTGTCACACAGTATTTTAAACAGATTAAAATCCCAGTAGCATGGGACCCACACAGTTCTATTGCTAAAGGATCCACTGTAATTTGAACTTTGGACCTGTGTCAGGAAGGGTTTACTGTAGGAAGGGTTCTGGGACAAATTAAAAAGGAGTCTTTATCCAGTCAGGTCTAGATATAAGGCCAAAATTAGTTTCAAATGTTATTAATAAAAGGTCCCACCATTTGGTATTTTGTTCTTGCAACTCAATATATTATCAGCTGTGTATCCTAGGTCTCAGAGATAATATAAAACTTCTTATCTTCTTTCAGTTCCTTGCAATAGCTCAACACACAGGTGTTCCATAAGTGTCTTTTAGTACAAAAAGTATCCATTTATACTGTAGATAACAGTGCTTTTCACCTGTTCTTAGGGAGTTGGGTCTTTTTAATTGCATTTTAAGATGAAAATGTTTTACAGTGGAAACCCTGCTATGAGTTTATCACATTTCTGTTGCTTTGTAATTTTATGTCATGACATTTGACTGGTTTAATAATATGCTTTTAAAATATACTCATGTGACAATTAATAATAGCTCTTAAAACTGCATATGTTTTATGCCTTAAGTATTTAAATGTCAAATACTGTACAACACAACACAATTATAATTACGTCCCTTCTTAGTACCAGCATACCCAATTGCAACTTCATTTGTTAAGTTGAATCTGTAAACCCTTGTCATTAGCAAAAATTGCAGTTGTTTTTCTAAGTAGCATTTTTATATATTTTGTTTTCATAAATTTTAAATGTCACTTTGAGTATACATATTTATTTGACATTACAGGCACTGGAGATATTATTGCTGTCATGATTACAGAATTGAGGGGTAAGGATATTTTGAGTTATCTGGAGAAAAACATCTCTGTACAAATGACAATAGCTGTTGGAGCTCGTATGCCGCCAAAGAACTTCAGCCGTGGCTCCCTAGTCTTCGTGTCAATATCCTTTATTGTTTTGATGATTATTTCTTCAGCATGGCTCATATTCTACTTCATTCAGAAGATCAGGTACACAAATGCACGCGACAGGAACCAGGTGAGCTACCAAAACTCTATGATGATTGATTCTTATCAGCCATAATTCATATGCATCGGTTATAACTATATATAGCATTTTTTTCTGTTTTAAAAAAAGTTGTAACTAACCTTCAGTCATTTTAATATATTGACGATTATCTACAAGGGTGTTTTAAATGCCTAAAGGGGAAGTATCAAATTATAATGATCACTTAAAATATTCTAGGTAGGTAGACAGGTTAATATCATAGTATGATCTAGCTAATTTTAATCATTTGGAGAAATATCACGAAATTGCTTATTTAAACCGGGAACATTGATTGTCTCTGGAGAGGGGATTTAGCTGGGGGACACAGATTTTTGTTTCATGCAATTTTTTTTATCCTGCTAAATTTTGAGCTATATGTTATCTATTAGAAAAAAGTTCAAGACAAATTATATGTCGTATCTAAGCTCAGACATGGGAATAAAGGTGGAGAGAAGACTGTTTGGATGGTAAATACCCATAGAAAGGCTTTATTTGTGTAGAGCCACCCTAAAATTCCATTGCCCAGTACATAATAAGTGCTCATTAAATTGTGGCGAATTAATAAAGCCACAAGAAAAGCAGTGTGCTGCCTTGTGGGAAGTTGATAGTTCTGGAGATAATAGTTACCTCAGTTCAATACTCCTTTAATTTGATGTGGTACAGACAAACTATCTCTCTACTCTTGGAGCAATGCTCAAAATGTTAGTTTTCTACAGGAAACACCTACAACTAGGACCTAAGAAATTGCTGTCGGTGTATATAGCACCGTTCTCTCTTTACCCAGAATACATCCAGATTCCTGGGGGGGAGGTGAAATTTTCATCCTTCCTCATTCTACTGAAAAGAACACAGGTTTTGGCATGGGACAAAATTGAAGTTCAAATGTCAACCATACCACCGGTTTTTTGTTGTTATTTATAATTTCAGACTAACAAAAAGGTTTCAATAACAGTACAAAGTATTTTTTTTTACCTTGTATCTCCAGTTGTTACATTTTAATCACATTTCCTTTCTCTCTATGTACTACTTTTTTCAAACCACTTGAAAGAGTTTGATATAATGTCCCTTTACCTCATAACTACTTGGTTGTTTGTTTTCAAAAACAATAACCTTCTCCTATATAACCACAGTATGATTATCAAAATCAGGAAATTAACATCAGTAGAATACTATTATCTGATCTGCATTCCTTTTTCAAATTTCATAAGTTTGTCTCAGTAATGTCCTTTATAACAAAGAAAAACATGCCTCTTTAATGTTTCATGACATTGACATTTTTGAAACATATGGGCCAGTTCTTTTGTATTTGATGTTCTTCATAATTAGATTAAGTTTATGTGCACTTTTGTCAGAAATGTCAATTTTTCTTTACATTTTTTTCTAGCTTTTTATAGATGTACATGCATTCTTAAGAAATAATATAGAAAGCTCCCGTAGACCCTTCACCCATTTTCTTACATCACTTTAGTAAATAACTGCAATCAGGAATCTGACATTGAATCAGTCAGTCTATTGATCAGATTTTCCCAGTTTTCTTGTACTCTTGTGTGTGGGTGTTTGTGCATGTGTTTAGTTGTATGCAGTTTTATCAGGTATAGATTTATGTGACCACAAGTCAAAACAAAGAACAGTTTCTTCACAAGGATACCTTCTGCCATCCTTTTATATCAGTAGCGGCCTCTCTCCCTCTACTAGCCCCTAGGAATTATTTTAATCTCTTCCCCATACACTTCAAGAATGCTAAATAAATGGAATCATACAGTGTTTAACCACTGGAGTTTGGATTTCTTCCCTCAGCATAATGCCCTTGAGACTTATTCAAGTTATTGTGTATATCAGTAGTTTGCCTCTTTTTATTGCTGAGTGTTATTCATGGCTTGGAGTCATGGTGTGGTGATGTGGGTTAATGCACTGGACTGGAAAGTTGGTTTGAATTTCAAATTAAATTTATGATGAAAAGTTTGTTTTTATTTTGTTTTTATTTGATTTCTATCTGAATGAGGCTTTTAAAAGAGAATCAAAATAGAGACTACTGTTTCCCTGTCCCCTGTGGAAAAACAGAATTATTGTCATTGCTTTCATTCAGAGAAAACGGATCTTTGGTACAGTTTAGATAACATTTCAGAAAAAAAGATGAGACAGAACAGCTAAATCCAGAGACAGTTCTATATCTACCAGAGCAAAGAGAATGGACCAGGAGTGCAGGCCTGTCATAATCGTTGGAGTGGACTAATCCTAGATCACCCTTCTCCCCTCACCGAATAGAGTCATACAGTATTGGGCATTAAAGTGAATACTGTTTTGAAACTTGTTTACAAATATATGTTGTTGTTGTTGTTAGGTGCCGTCGAGTCTGTACCGACCCATAGCGACATTATGCACAGCAGGACGAAACACTGCCCAATCCTGGGCCAACCTCACTACTGTTGCCATGCTTGAGTCCATCGACGCTGCCACTTGGCCAATCCATCTCATTGGGGTCTTCCTCTTTTTCTCTGACCCTCCACCTTTCCAAACATATCCTTCTCCAGCGACTAGTCCCTCCTGACAATATGTCCGAAGGAGCTCTGGTAGCGTAGTGGTTACGAATCGGGCTGC